GTTTCCAGTGATAAAGTATTTGTCTCAGCATCTCTTTTCAACTTCAAATAAATTCATGCTTTTGTTCCATATCCGGCATGAGGCTGAATTATCAGGCGTAAATCTGCCCTCAGCAGGTATGGATCCAAGTTTGCTGTGTGGGTGGCACTGGCCCACCCTGGACCCCCCAAGAACCACCCTTGAAGATAATAATAATACTACTACTACTACTAATAATAATAATAATAATAATAATAATAATACATCAAACTTATATGGCGCTTTTTAGGTCACTCAAAGACGCTTCACAAAAAGACAATAAACACGTAATGAAACAACAAATAATGAACAAAACTGGGGGCATGCTGGGTTAGTTTTAGAGGAAGGCCAGTTTGAAGAAGTGGGTTTTAAGCAGTGATTTCAAAGAAAGAAAGAAAGAGAGAGAGAGAGAGAGCATTCCTGATGTTTAGTGGGAGACAGTTCCAAAGTGTGGGGGCAGCAGCTGAAAAGCTCGATCCCCTATATCTATAACATCTGTAACATTAACAGGTGAAGGGCAGCAGTAGCTCAGGAGGTAGAGAGGGTTGTCCAGTAATTGGAAGGTTGAAGGTAACGTGTCCTGGGGCAAGACACTTAACCCACCTTACCAGCTGGTGGTTGGAGGGACTGACGGGGCCCGTGCTCAGACGCCTCGCCTCTGTCAGTGCGCCCCAGGGCAGCTGTGTCTACAATGTAGCTCATCACCACCAGAATGTGAATGTGTGCGTGAATGGATGAATGACACACTAGCTCTTTGGAGTCCTGTAATTCTGAAAGCGTGTTGCCGTTACTCAGACAAAACCTGCATCCTGGATAAAAAATTTTATAGACCAGTCTTGGCCCCCCACGTAGCTACAGCTCTCCACGACGAAAGAAAAAAAATCCCCTCTGCCAACAAACTCCCCACATATAAAACCCGATGTCATCTCATGGTTTCAGTGTGAAGCAACCCTAATCTTCAAAGATCCTACTGCAGTCCGGAGGATTTGTTGCTAGTGTTCAGTTGAGAATGGGCTGATATGAGATTTCTTAAACAAAAGGACCGTGTTTTTGCAGCATCGTCATGCAACAACATACAAATACAGTCACCTAAAATTAAATGCAGTCCTCAAATAACTCATTAGTCTTTGACTTTATATACACATAAATGATGTTTTGTTATTTAATGGATACCGCTGCTCTTGAATTCGGATACTGGAGATGATTTTATTACAGTGCAGGTGAACAGAAGCAAAGAAGGAAAGAAGAAAGCACGACTGAGTGTGGCTGTGTTCATTTAACACACACACACACACACACACACACACACACACACACACACACACACACACACACACACACACACACACACACACACACACATTCTGCTCATTTTCTGCATCTCTGTACAGCACACAGTCAGCAAAAACTCCAGAAAGCCAACAGGACATTATAGAAAACATGTTTCTTTAACGGATGTCTAGAACGGTGAATGGCTTTAATAAAATATAGAAGAGGTACTAACTCTGTTTAATTATAGTGATAAAGTAAATGTAATGAAATGTTAATTTCAATACAAATTTATAAACTGTAGCTGTCTGCAGTTTATAAAGACTGAGGAGTCGTTGATGTCGTTAGGACCTATTGTGTTAGAATGGTTGTTTTGGTTAGATGCAGGAGGGGCGTGACCTAGACTGAAACTGTTTTGGAATTACGTTTAGAGCTGCATTGTAGTTGCTGGAAAGGTGAAACCTGGGGTCACATTCCTCTGTTTAATTTAACCATTCTAGTGCAATTGGTCCTAACGACATCAACAACTCCTCGGGGGGTAGAGAGGAGGGGTATTCATAGGTAGTTTCAGCTCATTAAGAAAAAACAGACAGCTACAGTTTATAACAGGGAATCTCCCATATTCCAGTCAGAATAGCCAAAGCTCCTTGGATGAGAAGCAAAACGTCTTCAAGAAACTAAAAAGGTCCAGTTGCCTTCATTAGAACTCTTTGGATTACCATGACCTGGACAACTGAACCTTCACCAGCATATTCCAGTATTTAAATATTCTGTTGATGAAATAGTCAGTAATCAGATTGATCTTTGCAGCATGCATTAGCACAAATAAGATCAAATGTTACGTAAAACTAAATTGCATTATAAACATGCTTTTTGCATGTAGCCACCAGTATAGCTTGTCCTTTTTCTTCCACTGACCCACTTGCACAATTAGATTTATGTTAAATGTCACCTTGTGTGTATGATTATCTTGTTAGTTTTTATTATTAAATCTTCAATATTAGACTATTTGACATTTTAGCTCAAAGATTTCTCCTTGTATTTGCTTGTAGTCTGTCTAAAATCAGCCACACTAATCTCATAAATTGGTATTAATGTTTTGTGGGTTTAGTTATAATTGCCTGTGTGAAACACAAGAGACCACTGAACAGTATGGGGTGGTATGGAAAAAAGAAGCATTCAATTAAAGATTTAAAGGGTTGTTTCTGCTCAATCTAACATCTATTGGAGGGTAGATTTGATACTTATTCTAATAAAAATGTAATGGAATGTACCAGAATAGTGATGCTATTCTTGGTGGTGTCAGCAGACACAGAGCAGAGGCTGCTTCGATTCCTTCCTCTTTATCTTTTAAAGATTAAACTTTTATACTTAACACACACATATATATATACCCACAGCCTACATCTCCTCTCATATGAAGTTACTCAACTTACCTCAAAGCCTTTCTTCTCTGAGTGCGACTTACAGGCTCAGAGCTGCAAAATCAAAGGGCAGAAGAGACGTGCCGCCTATGCATCTTTTTTCGTTTGAACGATTTCTCAGATAATGTAATTATAACGTGTTAATTTACAGTTCATTTAACGTATACTGATCATGTCATCATACTGTACTTAGGAAACAGTCGGTTGGTTTGACTTTGCAGAACATTGTGAAACAAAGAGCCGGTTTCTGAGTCAGGATTTAAAAATAGTCTCCCCACAGGTTTTTTTTTTTTTTTTTTTTGCCATTAGCAGTATTGGTTTGCTTGGGGCTCCGCCTGTATTGCAGCAACACTGTATATTGTTACCATACATTACCATTTCAGGTCTCACAAAAAATATAAAGTAGAATAGAGAAATAAGTTGGGTTTTGGTGGATCCATTGTCTGCTTTGATGTAATATTTATGCTTTGAGCATTTCTCATCGCATGGCAGTGGGCCAGAAGCGAATGAAATGGTAAAAGTGTAGGAGTTTAACAGTACACTGATCATATGGTCATGGATCGAAATACAAAAATTGATGGAATGACAACGCTGCCCGGCCAAAAAAAAGTTGCCACCTGGATTGAAGATAATGAAATAGGTACGAGGCTGCTATTGGATAATTACTACGTGGGTAATTATCTTTCAGCTGGCAACAAGTTATTTAACACAACTGGTGCAAATGAGTTGCTTCTCGTTTCTTAAACAACCATGTGGAAAGACATATCTGGGGGTTGTGGAAAAGATGTTAGTCTGTTTGAGAATCAGATCGTCGGCATGCATCAAGCAGAAAAAATAACATCTAAGGAGATTGCCGAAACGACTAAACCTGGGTTAAGAACTGTCCAACGCATTATTAAAACTGGTCTGATGAGTCCAGATGTACCCTGCTCCAGAGTGATGGGCGCATCAGGGTAAGAAGAGAGGCAGGTAAAGTGATGCACCCATCATGCCTTGTGCCTACTGTACAAGCCTGTGGGGGCAGTGCTATGATCTGTGGTTGCTGCAGTTGGTTAGGTTCAGCAACAGGATGTGCTCCAAGAATGAGGTCAGCTGACTACCTGAATATACTGAATGACCAGGTTATTCCATCTTCCCTGATGGCACGGCCATATTCCAAGATGACGATGCCAGGATACATCAGGCTCAAATAGTGAAAGAGTGATTCAGGGAGCACAAGACATCATTTTCACACATGGATTGGCCACCAGGGTCCAGACCTAAACCCCATTAAAGTCTCTTTCTGTTGTTTTCTCCCTTATCTAATGGCACCATCTAGTGGCTGACAAGCATATCACACAAATAGTCTTGGTCCGTTTTTTTTAAGATGACAACTTCATGTTTCTTATTTATAAATGTGCTTCTGTAGCCGACAAACAGAGCTAAAACATGTTGTTTTACAGGCATTATTATCATGTCATGTTGTGTTCGCACATATTTATATTTTAGAGACTCATTTGTTCGTGGAAAGATCATCAACTCTGCATCAGCCGAGGTATTCCTTAAATTCGAAGCATGATGCTTTAAGATTTTTTGGGACGTGCTGGAGAAGGCTTTGTGCAGCGGTCAGACTCTGGATGGAAATAAATCTGGTGACAATGTAGAAGCTTATCGAAATAATTCTACAGCAAATGTGCGTCAAAATCAGAGCTAAAGGCAGCCCAACAAAATATTAGTGTGTGTGACCTTTTGTTTTGATGGTGACTTTTTCTGGGCCAGGCAGTGGATTTATATAACAGACTTTAATTTTGAAAACAGCTTTATTTTGAAGTTCTGCTGACATGCAGTTTTTGCACCTGTTCCAGCACATCACATCTCACGGCTCGCCATGACACTGCTAGCTTCTTCAGTTAACACATCCAAATGTGTTAACTGAAGAAGCTAGCAGTGTCATGGCGAGCCGTGAGAAAGCAGCCAGAAGAAATCGTCCCTCCCCTAGGAAATGATTGTGTTCAATCGCTTATCATTTCATGTTGTATCGATCGGTGGATCCTAAATCTAATCAAACCGAAATGGCATTATGACTGAATCTGAGATATTGGTAAGGATCAAATCATAATCTGCTATTGATAAAATATCGTACCACGATCAAGCTAGTGATTTACGCCCCTTGTAAGATGTAAGGCATGGTTTCTGCTGCACTTTGGGGTCTGTTTGGGCCTGATGGAGTCTGAAGCAGTTGGAATGACCCAGTTAAGAAGGCCATGTTTTTGTTTATAGCTTGCTCTGTCCCCCCCTCTTCATCTCTAGGCCACTGTTCTACTTTGCTGCTGTAAGGTAGAGCAGCCATCTCTGCCGGGGAAGCGGTGACTGACAGAAGAATCGGCCGCCCCTGTGAAGAGTCCTCCTTTTAATGGATGCCCGGGTGGCCCTGCTGCTCACGTGGACAGGTCTTGTCCTGCTGACAGCTGAACTGAAGTGGACAGACACGTCAGAGATCTACACCAACACTTGGGCTGTTCAGATCAATGGGGGCCCTCAGGAGGCTGACCGCATCGCCAGAGAACACGGTTTCATCAACCAAGGCAATGTAAGTTCATCCCATGCCGTTACAGTTATTACTGTTGCATTTGCAACCTTTGTTTTCTGCGTGGGTGCAATATTTTCATCTGCAGACACAAAGTCACTAAGACCATCTAGCTTATGCAGTAGGTGGCGTGATTGTTACTATGCGGCAGCATCAAAGTGGAGCATGACAAAGTCTTCATATGACACCTCCGGGCCATGCTGTTTGCGTAGCATAGTGCTGAAGTGTGGCCTCTTCCCCTTCTTGTCTTAAATGGAGCGTGCATGATTCACTGACGTACTAGCAGACATTATTGTTTACAGAGATGTGTTGGAAATAGGAATGATAAGCCATTCCTCTCTCTCTCTCTCTCTGTCTCTCTTTCTCTCTCTCTCTCTCTCTCTCTCTCTCTCTCTGTCTCTCTTTCTCTCTCTCTCTCTCTCTCTCTCTCTCTCTCTCTCTCTCTCTCTCTCTCTCTCTCTCTCTCTCTCTCTCTAGCATCTGATAGGTTGTTAAATGTAATTATGATGCAGGCAGTTTAATTCCAGCAATTGTGTTTCTGCTTGGAACTTGTCAGGTCATTCTAATTAATACATTAGCTTCATGTGGAACAGCTCTCAAGCAATAAACACAATCCTCATATAGAGAGAAGCACTGCTCTCAGGCCTAGTCCACACGTAGCCGGGTTTTTTAAAAACGAATATCCGCCCCTCCAAAAACTTGCATCCACACCACCTCGTTTTAAAAAAAAACTCTGTCCACACGTACCCGGATAAATACGTTGTTAAGGACATGCCAGACCTGTAGGCGGCAGTACTTCCCCCGTTCTTAACCTCGTCCTTCGTCTGTGGTCTTCCGCAAGGAGCAGTAATTCCGCTTGCAAAAACAAACAAGCAGAAAGCGCTTGGACAATTGATGGATCGGGTAGTGACAGAGCGCAGCTCTGAGGGCTTCCATGATGTCGGCTAGTGTAAACACAGGTCGCACACGTGATGTCAGCATTTTTTTGTCGCGGAAAGTGACGTTGCGGACCTTAAAAGTCCGGTTTTGTCCGTCCACACGCAGACACCCAAAACGGAGAAAACGCAGATCTTCACTTTGGCCGGAGTTTTTAAAAAGATCCGTTTTCGTGTGAAAAAACTCCGTTTTCGTGTGGATGACAGGCCAAAACGTAGAAAAATATCTACGTTTTGGCAGATCCCCGGCTACGTGTGGACAGGGCCTCAGTCGGATCTTAAATCGCTGGAGTATCAGAACGCTCCCAAAACCAAACTTTCTCATATGTGTGCTCGGGTCTTGACAGTGTGCCGCCATTTGGCTTGCTGCTTTACTCAAGAGTTAAAGTCATTTGCATGCGTCTTAGTGGAGCCACCTGAATGCTGCATACACCAGCGAACAGCCCTCTTCCTCATACTCCAGTCCCTCCATCATCTGTCTCAAATACAGAGGAATTTCTGAGCTTTTCAGAGCTCATTTTTATTTAGTTTTACGTAGAAACGATGATTTCTCTAGAGAGCAAAGCCAGATGTTTTTATTTCCTTGTGATCCGTGCAAGCAGATGTGGTTGATTCATGACAGTTTGGGAATAATTAGCTGGGTTTTAATAAATGATTTTAAGTAAAACTTCTCCAGTGGTCTTTTGTTGGACTCTGGAGGGTTTTTGGACCGATCTGTTAGGGCTGCACTCGTTTCTGTCTGAAACAGTTAAAGAAAACTTCTGCGCAGTAACAAATCAAGCTAGGTGGAGAACCATCCTAGAGTTTTAGTGATTTGGGTAATATTGAATGTTTAGTATTCTGCTCACAGATCACAAATACATATTCTAGACACACGATGCTATAAAAATAACATCTCTCTGCACCGAGCTAGGCTATTCTTGCCTCTTGCGCTCCTTTCTTATGTGATTCCTTTACTTTCTTCTCTTTATCTTCTTGTTTCATCAAACCACAAAGACATTGCTTCATTCTTCTCTTGTGTTAATTAGTCAGTACATCAAAGGAAAATGTAATCACTCCAGGAAGACTTGACAACTAATGCTCCACGGTGATACTCTGTTTCTGGATCTCTTCTGCATCGTGGCGGGTTGTTGGTTTATTTCCTGTGACATTAGGCTCCTCCAGTCCAGAGGAGTGAAACAGAGTCTTTCCCCCTATTTCACATCGCTTATCCCAGCCAGAACCTTTTCCTGCTGCAAGGATGCATCACTTTTACATGCAAATGTCCTCGGTCTTAGTTTTACGGGGACACCTAAATGAGTTTCATTTTAATCTCTTACCCATGAATAGGCGCTGTTAGGGACAACGATGTTTTACAGGTTTTGTGTGTGGGTAGGTGAGGGTATTGGTTAGGTGAGGATTTGCAGAGAAAGGGGCTTAGAGAGGAAATCATCTTTGATCCTTATTCCATAAGGCACTTAAGAAGAGCAAAGAGGCTGATGTATAATCAGAAGGTAATGGGTTTTTATCACTAATGTGATTATGGGATCATCACTTAATTGATTATTTGTTCACAACGGTCCTTAGAAATACACTTTTTTTGGCTTGTCCTCATGTAACCACATATTTTCAATAAGTGGGTCTCCAGGCTGAAAAGTCTACATCCGTGTCTATGTATACGTGTGTTGAATAACAGGGATTATGTTTTAAAGGTCATTGAAACTTCCTAGTGTAGATCGGCATTTAGTAAGTCACCCAAGAGCACCATTATATCAGTTTCTGCCAGGTAATGCGATCGATAATAGATTTTATTTGATATTATTTCTGTACCTTTGCAGCACTGCATCGTGTTTGCGTAGGAGCTCCAAACCAGACCCGAGTTTACAGCTAAATGGCACGCTGCGCTCCTTTTGAGCTGAGTCAGAATCATTGTTTTCATGAGAATGGGCTGGCTCTGTGGGTGTTGACAGAATGAATCACCTTGGAGTAGATGCCTACCTGAACCTTCTCTGTATTTTTTTACATTCTTTCTGTATTCACAACCCCTCTAAACCTTGGTGTTAGAGGTCTATTTCTATTTATAGCTATCTCACTCAAAACACAAGGCTATAGTGTAATTTGCAATAAGCGATTTGCTGTCGTCGTCTGTCGTCGTCCCCCCCCCCCCCCCCCCGCTGCTTGAGCTGCTGTTTGTGGCCCACTTCAAAAACCGCTGGAAAACACTCTCCCAGCTTTTGTTTTGCTCACCTAAAATGTCATTTCCATTTAATAATGAGCAAGTGTTTGATTGCATCTTGTGCCAGCTGTTAAAAGCACAACGTTTCTCCAAAATGTAATTTCACAAACACTGATAACTGCCCTGTTTATGGATGTTTTATGTTTTGCTTTGCATCAAAATAGATATGCACCCAGTGCAAGGGGCAATACTATTTCCAGATCTGTCTGATTCAAATTTATCTCAAACAGCTACAGATAAAATAATAAAATACTTTATTTATGGGTAAATTGTCTTTCTGGAAATTAAAACATTTCCAAGTAGCAGATCTGTTGCTGCTAGCATGAATCAGCACTTTGCAATGATGAGTTGAAAGATAGGAGAAAATGTCGCTCTTATTTGTTGCAATGGTGCATTCATGGACTGTCAGATTTTTGAGTTTCAGATGTGCCAGTCACCGATTAGGCCAAACTCTGAATTTGTATCTTTACATTAAATCATATATTATTCTAGACCTTTGCCCAGCCATTAAATAAGTCCTTCGCTCATATTTGTGATGCATTTGCAGTGGTCTCTGCAGGAATGAATGCCTTGTAAGTCATACTCTGGTGGGAAAAAAAAAGCTCTGGTGTGCCTGTTTCAGCGCGAAGAATTCAGAGGAAGAGAAAGTAGCTTCAGATGGCAGTATTTGGACTCTTAAAGTTCCTGATATTTGGACATCTTGCCTCGGATTGGAAAACAGCAACACAACACAACTACTGACTTTGTTTGCTTTGCAGCATTTAGGTTTTATCTCCACAAAAAACACAAGCCTGGAGGAGTTCTGCTATGTGGTTGAGTTGCTAATACTAATGGTTAGCCTCTACTATTTGAGACGTTCTCTGCTGCTTCCTGGACGCTAAACTGTTATTGTGTATCAGGATAATGCCAGTACCAGTTAAACTGAGACGTTATACACTCTTACTGCACAGGGGATGAAAGACCTACAGTAGTGTTCTGTTTTACAGAACACTACGTCTCAGTGTGCCTCTGAAGGAGCTGTCCATGGTCTCCACAGTGGAACACAGTGGGTTTTCAATCAGAAGTTAATGCAAGAGATAGGTGTTGGAGACTATTTTCACATTTAGTCGGCATGGTAAACTCAGAGTGATGATCGTTTTATGTTTATGTTTATGTTTATGTGCTTAGCAGACGCTTTTACCCAAAGCGACTTACAGTTTTTTTTTTTTTTTTTTAACCTATAGGGCATGTTGTGATCTGTGGGGGAAACCGGAGTACCCGGAGGAAACCCACGCATGCATGGGGAGAACACGCAACTCCACGCAGAAAGGCCGCAGCCGAGTTTCGAACCTGCGACCTTCGTGTTGCGAGGCAACAGTGCTAACCACTGCGCCACCATGCAGTTTTAAAATAATAATAATAATAAGCAAACATTTGTTTATGTTTATTTATTTGGCAGACACTTTTATCCAAAGTGAAGTACAATTGGTGAACCTATGGGGCATGTTGTGATCTGTAGGGGAAACCAGAGTACCCGGAGGAAACCTATACATGCATGGGGAGAACAGAACATGCAACTCCACGCAGAAAGATCGCAGCTGGGTTTCGAACCTGCAACCTTCTTGCTGTGAGGCAACAGTGCTAACAACTGCACCACCACACAGCCCTGTTTCTCAGTGAAGGGCCTCTTTAAGCTATGGGTCCATACTAGTCAGTGAATCACATGATACTGGGCTGTACAGAAAGAAAATACATTTTACTTAAAAAATATATCTCTTTTATGCAACTGCTAGCTTAGAAATGTAGGCCAGCATTAGCAGTAGTAAAAAGATTTTGTTCTGCAGGTCTATCTAGCCACACTCATTGTCTACACC